GCGAAAGCGAAGATAACCGTTGTCATCCAAAACATATTTCTCAGCTTTTGAAATAAATATTGCCGCCTGCTGACTGCCTTTGAAGGCGGGTAGGTTCCCTGTTTTTAGAAAGGTGATGATAGGCTTAAGTTCCCTATCGTTTGCTTGCTCCTTTTTTAAATCAATTGGGTGATGTGTGCCGGCAAAGGTTTGGAAGAGTGTATTTGCTCTAATTTGTTATTTTCGAGGGATGGAGCAGCAAGAGCTAGACAGTTTGGGAACTCAATAACATCCAGAGTGTCCTCGCGTGTGGCCGGTTCTTTGTCGTCATCCACTCGAGAAAGGGCATCGGCTACTCTGTTGTGATCGCCCTTGATGTATTCAAGCTTAATGTTATAGCTCTGCAGTTCAAGTACCCATCGTGCAAGGTTAGGATGCGCGGAGGGTTTCTTTAACACGTGTGTTAGTGGTTTGTGATCGGTGTGAACTATACATTCCGACATGAAAATGTATGGCTTGAATGTGCGAAGTGCATAAACAACAGTTGCAAGCTCCGCTTGTATGATTGGCCATTTTCGTTCACTCTCTGTTAATGACCGACTACAAAACGATATGGCTTGAAACTGAGTTGTGCTGCCAGTGACCAGTTGCATTAGCGCTTCGGCTTGGGCAACGGCTGAGCAATCCGTGAAAACGTGAAATGGTTTAGTATAGCCTGGTTAACTAAGTATGGGTTCTTTCAATAATAGAGATTTGAGAGTGTCGAAGGCTTCTTGCTGCCTATGTCCCACGTAAAATGGCGATTTTTGCGTGTTAATTCTGTGAGCGGTGATGCGATTTTAGCAGAAGCTGGAATGAACTTCCAGTAAAAGCCAGCAAGACCACAAAATCGACGCACCTGCTGAACTGACCGAGGGACAGGAAATTTTGCAGTAGCTTCTAAATTAGCTGGCGATGGTCTGTAGCCTCCTTGCTGGATTGTATGGCCAAGGAATTCAATTGAACGGCGGGCAAATTGGCATTTCTTAGGAGATAACTTGAGGTTGAAGTCCTGAAGACGTTGGAATACCCGTTCCAGGAGTTGAAGATGGTCGAGCAAGCAAGGGGACTTAGTGTAAACGAGAAGGTCGTCAACATAAAAGGTCCTTCATCCATACCCGCAAAGACTTTAGCCATCGTTCGGCAAAAGATGCTAGTGGCATTTTTGAGAACAAATGGAAGATGGGTAAATTGGTAGCATCTGTCATCCAGAATCAAACCAAGCTTGTTGCTCACCTCATCAGATACCTTGATTTGAAGGAACTCTTGTGAGAGATCTGGACTGCTGTAGTAATGACAGTTACCTATTCTCTCTAGTATGGATTCTAGGGTGGGTAATGGGAAAGTTTCAGTTATGGTTACAGCATTTAGCTTCCTGTAGTCAACACATGTGCGTAGGCTTACGTCCTTTTTGTGAACCAGTACTATGTTTTGGCAACCCAGTTTGTTTTTGATTCCTTCAAGACCCCTGTGCGTAATAGATTGTTAATATAGGATTGTAGTTCTTCGCGGTATTTAAATGGCACGCATGTGGGCTTACATGCGACCGGATGCTCTGTGGTTGTAGTGATGTCGTGTTTCACGGCTGTGCAGGAACCTAAGTACTGGAAAATTTAGAATGGTACTAAGTTGCTGATGAAAATGATGAAGTTAAGTAGCTTTTAAGGGTTAAAGCAAAGGGGTAGGACGTTTCTTCCGACAGCATGTGCAATTTGGTCGTGGTGT